TCTATGCAGTTTAGCCACAAGACTCGGCTCGGCGCAGTTGCCTGAGGCTCCTTTGGCCATCAGGAACCAAGAAAAACCAGCGACCAGCGACTTGATAAGCTCAAACAGAATCGCTCGGATCCTTCGAATGGCCCCTTGCTAGTTCAAGAGAGGAAGGTTGGCTTGGTTTCATTTGGCTCCCTTGAGGCCATTTTTCTTGTGTCTGAGGCCAAGCTGTTTGGCTTGCGAACGCGGCGGCCCACTGAGCCAATTGTGGTTTCGTAGGGGCTCCATCCTCGAACCAGGTTGGGGACGCGTCAAGGCAACAAGTGGTACTCAGAGACCCTGTCCCTTTGGTTTGGGGCCAAGTTTCCCTTGTGACGATCGATCGAATGAGAGAGCACTGCTTTTCGGCGGGACCGCATGTGCCAAGACTCAGGTTGCCCCCAATTGGATTGATGTGAACCCTTTAACCTCCAAAACACCAAGCTAAACCACCAATTGGGAAGCTGAAAGGTAGACCTCGCGTTGAACGAATCGGATCTCGAATCTCCAGGCGCACTTCGACCTCTTCTACGCCACACTGATGGCCGGCGTCTTAACTTGGGACCGCCTAAGGTGGCAGAGTTTAGTTGCCAACCTTTGGAACACAAATCTCCACCCAAAGGGGACGTATAGCGTTAAATTGCTGGGGTCTCTGTCACATTACAGGTTCACTAAATATGGGCCAGAATCAAAGATATTATTTTGATTGGGAGCAAACGCTGAGGTTTAGGTTCATCATTTTGGGCTGCAAGAGCGCCCATTCTTTGGGCCCATGGATGGCCTGGTCCTCTTTTTCTCAGGGTTAAGCTCTTAGTTTCAGGTGGGTGGATCCTTATGCTCCACTCAGGCGACACCATGACCCGCACGGCTCGTAAGAGGGTGGCAACCACGACATGACCTACACCTGGATCGGGCCGGGTCTTCCTTTTTGAAGTAACCCAAGTTGTCAACCGAACGTGGATTCGACAGAAGAAAGAGTGAAAACAAAAGTTTCACGGCGCACGCATGGAGGGAGGGGACTCACTAACATTAAACAAACCTGTGGAAGACCATTTTCCTAGCAGGGAATGCGTTGGAATGACCTCTATAAACCATCCATCCTATGGCTTTTCTCTGGGAATCCCCAAAACCGGTTCATTCCCAAAATATGACTCGCCCATTCCCCACCCTATCGCGCCCGGTGTGGAAGTCTTCTGTGCGTGTTTGTGTTTCGCCCGGTTTTGGCTTCCAAGAACCTGCAATTGGTGGTTCGGATTGGTGGTTTGGGTTATTCCTTGGAGGCCCTGGTTCTTGTCGAGGGAGAATGGGAAGCCACCAATCCAAGCCCTCTGGGTAAATGGGAAGCCACCCAACCACACCACCCCACCAGGTCAAACCAAGAGGGAAGCTGAAAGGCGGGTCCCCAGTGGCGCCCTTTCACCGTTTCTTTCTTGGTTGGGAGGGTCCCCCTACTAAAATCGACTACAGAAAAAAAAAGAAGAAAAAACGGGTACCAACTGATTCTAACCTCTGAAATCTGGAGGGCCTAGTGAAAGACGGGCCCCGGGCCGAGAGGTCTTGGAGTGTTTCTTGGTGTCCGGCCTGCACCTCATCGCCTGGCCGGCCGGCGAGCCCGGGCACCCAGGAGATAAATTTTGCCGCGAGTGTGGGGAAGGACATGACTCGGGACGTCGGATCTAAAGAAAAATGCCCTCTACTCCGAGACTCCAGGAACCGTTTATTTTAACGGTTCTCGAAAATCATCCGGGTTTTTGTTTGCATCCTTGTATTTTTAAAGGTTCTTGGAGTAGAGGGTATGTTCTGATACTTGGATCATTCCCCTCACCAAAGAGCTGTTGACTGGTTTGAAGCCACCGGGGACTTGGGACACCAGAAGACTCAAATCGATTTGTTTTGACACTTGGATCATATCACCAGCAAAGCGCTTTTGACTCGTAAGCCATAAGGCCACCTTTTTGCTACATGTTCCCCTTGTGGATACCTCGCTCAACCCCGGGATTTTCGACCAGTTTTCTCCGCATTGGCTCACTTGCGCTTGATCCAAAAGCTTTTTACAGGGCTCTTCTTTGAATCCAGTTTTCACATTACTCTTTTGTGCCAATTCAGAGGGTGTGGTCATGTTTTTTTTTTTTTTTTGTTTTTTTTTTTTTTATGGGTGGGGGGGGGGCGGTCAAGAATACGCTGTGCAAGGGATACGGGACATAATATATATATATACAATATATATATATATACAACTATATTAGAAGCCTTATACTGACTGACATCTTAAACCGGTTTGAGCATATGTTATTTTTGATGGACCTGACAAGAATCAGGCGATCTTGTTGGGGCGCTTCACACTGCCTTTTCTTGCTATTTCATCATTGCGCTTCAGTCCACGCTAACCCAAACGAACCCAACACCAATGCATCCATACAAATCCATCGTTCCTCTAGACGTGTGAAGCCCGGAAGATTTTCGGGCTTCGATACCGTATACCCTTTGGGGTGGCTGATTGTGCTCTAAGAAGTCGCAGCCCACAGCCATGCAGACTTGCACTCTCGGAGCTGGCGAGTGGATGGAGCAGCTACTAACCGGCGCTGCTGGCTCCTGCCGAACCACCAGTCTATGATTTACGCTGCGGCAACGGCACGTCAGCTGAACCCCCACGCCAGCTGAACCCCCACGCCAGCTGAACCCCCCTATGTGCAGAGAGGTTTGTGGGTTCTAGGGCCACCAGAAGTTCGGAGAGGAAGTTGGCAAGAACTGTTTACTTTCAAAGCCCTGGATTCCCTGCCTGTGGATGGTTGCGAAATCCATTTCGCACCACTTTGAGACCATGGGAATCCATTGTCTCTTGGTATTTGCAAGGGAATCATCATTCCAGGGTTTGATAGGTGGTGCGAAATGGATTTCGTCCATCCACAGTAGTACTGCAAAAAGGCACGCGGGTTCCGTGGCCGTCCTGGTGCTTGTCCATAGGCTTTCAGCATCCTTTTGGTCTCCCAAAGAGCGCAAAACCAAAGGTGGGTCTCCAAACTTAGCACGGCTGAAAGTCAATCCTGAGCCATGATGGGAGACAAGGCATTAGTTATGTCCCTCCGTCCTTGGCTCCTACTCCTGAATGGCCCTTGGCTCCGAGTACTGATAGCGATCAGCTTGCAATGGCTTCTATAGCTCCGCAGGGTATGAGCAAGGACCGGCATAGAACCCGGATCGCCTCCATTTCCGGATCTATCTCAAACCCGGGCTTCGGGTTTCGGGTTTGGGGTTTCGGGTTCTCCCAAGGCGGCCTCGTTCCAAAACCAAAGAAAGGAGCCGAGAAGAGAGCTTCCAGCGCCCATGGCCGGCTCGCGCCACGGGGCCCAGTTCCCCGGCCCCCCGAGAAGGGCTCCGAAAGAACTGCACGCAGAACCTTCCAACCAAACTCTTTGGCTGCGGCGAATTCAAAAAACCGGAAGTCCAACATGGCGCAAGCCGATCGGTAAGTGGAAACATGGACCAACATCCCTGCGGCTTGCCCCTCCTGCTTAATTTTGAGCCACGGCCCTTTCAAGACCCTTTCCCGAAAACTAGCCCTTTTCCCAGAAGAAACAGTGGCTGAACAGAAAAATGCATGTGTGTGTGTGTGTGTGTGTGTGTTTGTTTGTTGAGGATATCCTGATATCCTGGTTTCATGTTGGTTTCAAGGGACACCAACATGAAAACCACCATGTTCGCAGTGGTTTTATTTTGACACATCCCTTAATTGCTGCTTTAGATTTGTGGTTAGGAATCTCGGAACTTGAATCCCTCGTCCTTTAAGAAGGTAAGGGTCAACCACCCCTAGCCTCCAAATCACCAATCCAAGCCACCAAGATTTAGCTAGGTCCCCCAGTGCCCTTTGACCAACTTTTTTGCTTGGGCGGGTTCCGCTACTCGAATAGACTACAGAAAAAGGTTGGTACCAACTGATTCCAACCTCTCTACTGGAGGACCTAGTAGAGGAAATTGATCATGGGGAGGCCCGTGGTTCCGCCAAGCACTCAGGGACTGGTACGAGAAGACGGCGCCCGACGAGAAGACCGCGCTGCTGAAAGACGAGAAAGCTTAGTCCGGGCTCGCGACAAAAAGGTGTGGCGCATGTTTGAGTTGCTTTCTGGAGTTGTTACTGTGGATGGACGAAATCCTGCACCACTTGGAAACCATGGGAAACCATCGTTTGTTCATATTTACAGGGGAATCATCGCTCCAGGGTGTCTTAGGTGGTGCAGAGTTTCGTCCAGCCACAGTATCATTTTTGGTAGTTGTTTGATTATGCAACCCGAAATGGTCGTTTTTGGGATTAAGCAAAAAAAACAGCTCCATTTCAAGAGTTTTGGTTTGGCTCAATCAAGGCTCGGAAGAAATGGTATTTGTGCCTCTTTTTAGGGATGCCCGTTTTGGATGGTTTTAGTTGAAAGCCAAAGGGAAACCACCATTTTAGGGGGGGGGGGGGGGGCAAATAACACCGCCAAAAACAGGGTAACACCGCCTTCTCCACACCCGTATCCCCACCCTGTTTTCCTCGCGCGAGAGGGAAGCTAGCTCTGAGCTTTGGTGCGACACGGCTTTTGGGGGCTAAAAGCAACAACAAGGGTACCGGGCGACCAGAAAGCCAGGAAAAAAAAGGAGTTCACCACTCAATGGGAAAAGGGGCCTTCGTGGAACATTGACCAGGCAGGTAAAGCAATCGCTTCAGAGGAAAAGCCCAGCTTCATGGTAAAACGCAGCAATCCGCAGTGTAATCTGTTGGAGCTGTGGCGCAATGGCAGCGCACCACCCCGCGGGTACCTTTGTGGGGTGGAGGTTGGAGGCTCAATTCCTTCCAGCTCTATAGCCATCACTCTTAGAGTCATGCCTTTAGTTGAGGGGTTGATTCCCGTGAATTTTCGGTGGGTGCCCCTTTGTTGTGACGGCCGAGGTCTGTAAATCCGAAAACTGCCAAAGCCTGAGCTTCTGGCGTCCCCAGCCAGGCGCGTGCTTTGGAGATCCTGGATGAGGCATGTCTGCTTTTGCGGCACGCGACTTTGACCCCCTTGTGCTTCATTGAGCTGGGGTCTCCTCCAAAATCATTGGACATGTTCTGGTAGGGGGGAGGGAGCCCGAACAAGCCCTAGGCTTATATTCAGCCCCCTCCCCCCCAGCCTCCATGATGAGTATAGCCAGTATGGGGCACTTCAACTGTGTAGTGAGTGGCTGCCCTTCGCTTTTTGGGTTGCACCTCACACCACACCCAGCCCCGCTGATTGCCTAAGGGCTTTCCAAAAGGACGTTGGTTCAAAGATGATGGGCTCACTCCCCTGAGTTGGTTTAGTTCAAAGATGATGGCTCATTCCCCTGATTTATATATAGACCCCAACCACCACGATTTGTAGAGGAAGTTCTTCCTGGGGGGATCTGTGTTTGGGGTTCCATGTTAGCATTTGTAGGGGAGTAAGCGAGCGTTTGGCCGAACCTTGCTGAAAGAAGCTTTAAGGGAACTTTTCTAGGGGTTGATTCCCCATTCTTTTCAAACAGCGTTCTTTTCAAAAACCAGCTGTTTCCCCAGGGTTTTGGGTGGTTTTTTAGAAAGAAGGATGCCTGGAAAGATTGGGGAAGGTACCCCTAAAACTTTAGGCTTCTCGCCTGGACGAGAAAGCACAAACTTTAGAGCCTCCGGCTCAGTCCGCCGACATTGTCCTCTCCCTTTTCTCCTTCTTCCCTCTCCCTTGTCTCCCTCGTGCGTTCTGTCGTCCTCTCTCCCTCCCTCTGCTCCCCATTCTCCCCATCCCCCCAAGCCTCTCTCTCCTCAATCTCCCACTCTCTCTCTCTCGCTGTCTCTGTTTCTCTGTCTCTTTCTGTCTCCCTGTCTCCTTCCTGTCCACGCCCCTCTACAGAAAAAGGGCACCCTAATTCGAACCTCTCTACTCTCTCACTTTCTCGCTCTTTCTCTTTCTCTTTCTCTTTCTCTTTCTCTTTCTCTCTCTCTCTCTCTCTCTCTCTGTCTTTCTGTGTCTCTCTTTCTCAGTCTCCGTCTTTCTCTCTCTCGCTGTCTCTCTCTCTGTCTGTCTCTTTCTCTGTTTCTCTGATTCTGGCTCTGTCTGTGGCTCTGTCTCTCTCTCTCTCTTTCTGTCTCTCTCTCTGTCTCTCTCCCGCTCTCTCCCTCTCTCTCTCTCTCTCTCTCTCTCTCTCTCTCTCTCTCTCTCTCTCTCTCTCTCTGTCTCTCTCTCTCTCTCTGCATTGCAGCGTCACGTCCCCCCCCGAGTTGCCTCGATGTCCGGGCACTGCCCCTGCATGACCCTGAACTGTCATCTCACTACTGGCTTTCCCCCTTCATGTCCTTGTCACGTTTCCCATGATGTCCTGGTCCTGTCCCTTCCATGCCATTCAGCCCCCCCTTCATGTCCCTGACATTTTCTCGGTATGTCCGCTTCATTTGCCATGTATGTCCCGTTCTTTCGTTGCGAGTCATTTCCCTACATCTCCCGTCGTGCTTGGTTTCCTTGTGCTTTGTTTCCTCTCCTTCCCCCTGCACTCCCCTTGTTTTCATTTCTGTCCCTTGCATGTCCCTTTCAGTTCCCCTTTGTTTCCCTTTCATGTCCCGCTGCTTTCCTGTCATGTCGACTTCCTATTTCCTCCCCTCATTTCACTTGCACTTCCTTGCATTTCCCCTCTGCTCCCCAATATTTCCAGCAAAAAAACACGGGTTTTCCAGCGTTTTCACAATTAGGACGTCCAAAAACACAGAGTTTTTCCAGATTTTCTGCAAAAGGAGGCAGGAACCCCAAACCAAAGAGCCGGCAGGGGGAATCGAGCCTGGGACCCCTGTTTTGCGACACCGGCTCCCCGAAGACTACGTTTAGTGGAACGTCATCAAATTGCCGCGCGGTCCTTGGGGGGGGGGCCCCCCCCCCACGTATCAGACGTCGGGCGGGGGGGGGTTAGGGGGGGGGGGGTTATCCTCTATCCTCTCTTAGGTGTCCGACACGCCGAGCAATGTCGGCGGATTTGCGTGCGTCTTTCTTCGTTGCTAATGTTAAATTAAGGGGAAACTGACATTTCGGAAACTGAAAAGAACACCAACCTTTTTGTTGTCCCCTCGAGAAAGTACTTTTTTTTTTGTGAACCCAACCCTCTTTCTACTCAGATCGGGTCGAATGGGAGCAATCTTGACTGAGGTACCAAATCGCCTCCCTGGGGTAACAAGGTTGTAGGGTTGAACGATGTATCCCCCAAATAACTTCAAACTCTTTGCCAGGGATCGACGCATCACCAGTACTCCAGGGTAAAAGATGGCACAATCCCCTTGGTAAGCAAAGAGAAAGACTAAACCAAGGCGGGTGTGCCATCTACTTTCACCAGCGGTAGGTTTCGCCCCACTGGAGGATCCGAAAACACGTGGAGGATTCCGGCAATAGGGTCCAACTGACACCGGGTACCATCAAGAAACAGACCATAGAGGGAACCGTGATCCTCGATCTTTTTCGCCGTAAAATATCCGTTTGGTTCCCCCCCCAGAAAGGGTACATACCTCAAAAAGGCTACGCTCCTAAGGTGTCTTATCCTTTTGGTGTCCCTTCAAAACGTCACCCCGCCAAGGGGTACCCTCAAAAGCAAACACGGAGAGACAGACACATAGCCACACCTACACAGAACAAGCACACACACACACACAGCTACCATTATAAGTATGACGGCAACCTTCCTTGTGGTTGTTCAAGGGTGGGGAACACAGTTCCCATCATAGTAGGCAACCGCCTTCCTTTTGGTGCGAAATCCCCACCAAAAAACGGCAAAGGCAATTTTCTTGCTAGTGCTCAGTAGGGAGTGAACCCAGGGGTCCTCTTAAAGGAAAGCACAAGCGGGATGGTTTATAAGGGTCCTTCGCCGAGAATGCACCAGTAAGTGTTTCTCTTTTGGTTGTGTGCCCCCCCTCCCAAAAAAATACAAATGCAATTGTCCCGTTGGTTGTTAAAGGCTGGGGAAATCTCTCCCAAAATAAGCAAAAATAAGCAAGCAAACATAAATAAACAAGTAAATACACAACGGTGTATATGTATATATATATATACATATATATATATATATATATACATATATATATATAAATATAATATCTACACAAACATAAAAATAAAACCATGGCCTATAAATCAATTAAATGATAAGCCACACAAAGGCAATTGTCCATTTAATCAACAAAAGGTAGGGATTGTTTCCTTTTGGATCGGGGCATTTTTGGCCTCAGGTGGAGGCCCAGGGTGTGCAGCTGGCGGACCCCGCCCGCTTCGCCCGGGAGCTCGCGGCCGACGAGGAGAAGGCCGCGGGCCGCATGTCTCGGGTCTCGGAGGTAGGGCGCCTCATGTCTGGGTCCCCCAGCTAGGTGCCATTTGTGTGGTTACAGCACACGTGTTTTGTTCGCGCCGCTTAAAAAACCATCCGTTTGAAAGAGAAAGGGTCCCCCAAAAGTTGTAAATTTGGGGCCCCCTGTAGTGCCCTTTTACCGTTTCTTTTTTGGGGGAGGGAACCCCCCTACTAAAATAGACTACAGAAAAAAGTCGGGTACAAACTTATTCTAACCTTTCTACTGGAGGACCTAGGTATCTTTTCGGCGGCTGCGAAGTGGGCGGCTTTCCATTTGCTGTTTTTTGTTTTTGCTTTGTTTATCGTGTTTTGTTTCCATTTGCTTTATGTTCCCTTCTTGGTGTAAAAGGGAATCGATTTCACTACTGGATGGTTTTGCTGAAAATGGTTGGTTCGGACATAGCTCACCAACAGAAAGTTTGGCAACACAGACAATCGGACACACACTCAGACAGTAAATATTGACAGACATCCATTTGCTGAAATTTACTTTATTTTCCCCTCTTGGAAGGAATTGATTGTAACTTCAAAACCATGCTTTCACAGACCCTTGCCAGAAAACGACCAAGTGGAAAGAACCCTGGAACGGAAATGTGGTTGTGATTGTTTGTGTTGGATCGGTGCCCTATTTTAAAGGTTGGTGAAGAAACAGAAACCACAGCATTTGGAAACCACATTTTGTTTGTCCCCCATTTTGAGAATCTCCTGTTTTGGCTGTGTGTTTTTGAGGGTGCTTTTTGGGGGTTTAAAAGGAAAGCAACAGGATAAGGATATCATTTTTCTGGGTAGGTTAACAGGAACCACAGGCGTCCAAAACAGTTTCAAACAGTTAATCGCAAGTCCTGTGACAACTGTGTAGTGATGTTAGTAGAACCAGAACTCAGCCGGTCTGCCCCCCTCCATTTTGACACACACACACAAACACACACCTTGAACAAAGTATCCGGAGCACGTGGACAGAAACGAGCGACGGTTTAGAACAAACGTCCTTGACTCGGTGTTTCATGATTTCCAGGTTGTGATGTATAGTATTTGCCTACCCAAGTTTTCCATGTTCCGTTGGGAAGCAATTAATAGCTAGTCAGTGGCTCACACGTGCCTGGGGTATATCCCCAGGTTCATTCTCAACCCCCCTCTGGATGCCTGGCCGAGAACCAGCACCATCAAGTCGAGTTCGCACAGGCACAGGGACCCTTTACTGAAGGGTTGTTCAGTGAACATTTTGAGAAACATGGTGCGGAGCTTTGCGGATGTCACGTTGGATCCCGCCAGGCGAAAAGTGTCCAAGCCAGGGGTTCTTAAAGGATAATTTATTCGGCCATGTTGAATCTCATGCTTTTCAGCATGCTGTACAATATGTATGTACGTGTATATATATATATAATATAAACAAGATGCACCACATATATATATATAGACATGATGCATGCATATTATTGCCCCCTTCGCTTTGAGGTATGCCAATCTCGCAAAGGAGTTTACTGCTGATGGCGACAGTTCGATCGATTGCGCCAGGTTTATCCTGCGTGACGCTTCAGGGTGCTTTGGAGCGGCATGCAAAACATGCCTGCGGGGGCAATCAGGGGATGGGCGCGATTTTGCTGGGTTTCAACTGCTGCATCTCCATGTCTTGGATGAGCCTGACCTTGAAATGTCACGCTTGTAGCCACGTGTTTTGGTGAGTTTGCAAAGGTGTGATGTCACATATCAGGCAACGACAACCATGTTCAGCCTCTGTCTCTTTGCATGGCTTTCGCTAGTCAGTTGCCAAGCCAAGTCCTGTCAAATATTTGCGAGGAATTGGCGCAGTACCAAGTGGAACATTCTGGGGAATCATTGAAACCGAGGCAAACAATTTCACTCAAGTAGACGCGCAGTCCACGTGAGCAGAGCTAAAACTTATTGACTTTTGGTTCTACCAACACAGTTATACAGGTTGAGTGATATAGGCTTGGCTACAACCCCAATTGAGCCACACGAGGGGTGTCAACAAATCCTGCTGCTTCAGGTGCACATTTCACTGGCTCCAGCCGGGGTTTCTCCGCCCAAGAAAGCTGAGGTGAGATGAGAAGGGGATGTGCCAGTTGTTGACTTTGGCCGTCCCTGCGACTTAAGATAATACGGCGCTCAGAAATGTGAGAAATGCGAGAATTATAGCTCGGACATCCCCAGGAGTACATTGAATGACCCTTTGAACATCTGGGACAGTCACAGTTGCAGATGGCACGAAGCCCTCATCACTCCACAGCCCTTTGACCATGTTCAATAGTTTATCGCGAAACACCGCATAGAAGCATCCCAACAGGCTTGCGTTGCTAAACATGTCAGAGGCCCTATCGTTAAAACACCAACTCCGTGTGGTTTACCTTTACCGGAGTTTCGAATGGTTTGAGCCGATCCTCATGGAGCCCAAAAGCCAATCGAAGCCTTCGTCGACTTTTTTTTTTCGCCATGCCGGGCTTGATGGATGCCGCGTGGCGTTTCGCCGGGGAGGCCGCAGGGAGCACAGTCGACATGTTGGAAGACCTGCTTACCGTAAGCATATTACCCCCTTTTTGGGGTGTGCAAAAAGAGAAACCAACATGAAACCCTGCACATCTTGCAAGTTTGGGTCCAGTTTCTGCGATACTGAGCCCAGAACCATGTGAACAATCCCGGCAGCAGAACGGTAATTTCCCTGCCCTGCTTGGCCTACTGTGGTTCGCACCAGGTAGGTAGGTGGCTTATCCCAGTATTCATAGACATTTAAGTTCTTGGGGTTTATTGTGCTGAAAGAATCCCTGTGACCTGTGAATACTGGGATATGGCTGTGGGGCAGAAAAATAGGTACCCAAAATGGGTCGCCCTGGTAAATGGAAGCATGGACATTCAAACCTGCGGTCCAATTCCTGGTTTCATGTTGACCCATACCCATACGTATCTCCAGCTACCAGCTGGTGTTTCCGCACATGGGAACGCGCCGGGTCTGAGCTCGGCGGAATGGTTCGATCCGAATCTCTGAGGGAGGTTTGTCTAGACATGTTGGTGGGTTACGGTTCTGTGGGGATGCTTTGGGCCGGGTTGAGGGTGGCTTAGGAGTGGTTTAAGGGTTTACACTGGCTTTAGCGGGGGTTTAAGTTTTTTTTTTAATGGTGGGTTTAGGCTGGTTTGGGAATGGTTTAGCGCTGGTTGAGGATTGGCTAGGGTTGGTTTGGGATGGGGCTAAGGCTTCTGTAGGGGTTCAAGTTTCTGTAGGGATTCTTTAGCTTGAGTGGAATTATTTGAGCCGAATACTTTGGATTACACCTGTTGTACTCGTTTTGCGCTCGCTTTGCACTTTCCACGGAAAAAAGGCGCATCAATGCCTTTCGGTGCATCCGAATTCTCCGAAGTCGGCCCGGAAGAGGCAGGCTGCCTTCCCTTCACTACAGGGATTCCCAAAATGGTGGCTTGAACCGTTGGTTCCAAGAGGGTGCCCCACAAGAAAGAATGTGAGCGCGAGGTTGGTGGTTCCAAGCTACATTGACGTCAAGGGGATTTTTTCGCCCCCATCTGAGATCATCTAACCTTGCCGCTAGAAGTCCCAGTTGCACAGTGGCCCCCTTGTTGCTCTTTTGTTTTGCCCCCTACCAAAGATGGTGAACCCCGAAAAGGGCTCCAATTCTTTTTCCACCAGGGTCACTGATCAGCTGAGCTAATTCAATCGTTATTAGGAATATGGATGGCACAGCCAGCAACAAGAACTAGCACATGGGAGATATAATTCAAGTTAAAGTTGAGTTTTAGTTGTAAACGTGCAGATCTCACTTCATTGTTGAATACCGATCAAGGGACAGGCTGAGGTCTATAGTAGAATCCCACGCTCCCGACCCGGGTTCAATGAGCTGCAGGTCGATCATCGGGAAACTAGTTCTTCAGTTGGCAAAATCGCCTCAGCTTGCCTGCGCGCGATTGATACTCTTTCGTGATTCTACCGTTTGTGTGATTAGTGGGTATTTATCGTTCACTTATGGAATTATTTTCTCATATGTTCTCTTCCTGGGAAGTGTGTTGACAAAATAGTGGCCACTTTGGGGCTTGTTCAAGGCGGCGCACGGCAGCAGTCTCAAAAGGGGCCATATGGCTTCTTAAAACTGGACCCCGAAATGGCTGGTATCCTCGTGGCTTCCCATTCCAACCAACACCAGGTCTCTCAAGAATGCTATGTCCTTTCAAACCAAAAACACGCCTCCCAAAAATGATGTGCCTGATTGTTTGGCGATTTTCAGAACGGGGATGTGTTCAATTTCTATGGTCCTCGCGCTTGCAGGTATCGCAACACCTGCCCTTCTTTGACCAGCTTGGTGGCCCAGCTCGCCCAAGGAATGGGCATTGGAGAGATGCATGGGGATTGGTCTTTGAGGGAACCTCTCCGCAGGGTGGTCGAACAAATCAAAGTTTGTTCACACGCACACGCACAGCCTTTTTCCGTAGTCTTGTGGCGGGTTTTGTTTGGGGCGGGGGTTGCTTCGCAAGCTATTGTCGCCTTTTTTCCAAGGGGCATCCGCCCTCCTTTTTCTTGATGGTTTCCATTTGTTTGCACTCTTGTGCAAAGAGGCATGCCCAGAGTTTTAGCTGAAGGGAGAGCAGCTTTCCTTCTGAAAGGCCAGGGCTGACGACCATAGCAAGAGACCCGGTGAACATGGCGCCTGCGTGGGGGGAGTTTTGGGACCTATCGAAGATTGGGACTTGGGACCATCCCTGAACAGCTCTCACAAGGATCTTGCGGCGCCATGGTGTCCTGAAAGTTTTTTCTTTTTTTGTTTTTTCCCGAAAGCATGGCGAAGGGTTCTTCCGCTGGGTTCACTTGAGTTGTTCTCATGAGAGTCATTACAAGGTGTCAATGCAAGGAATCAGCATCATGAAAGTCATTGCAAGGAGTCATTGCAAGGAATCATCATCATGAAAGTCATTGCAAGGAGTCATTGCAAGGAGTCATTGCAAGGAGTCATTGCAAGGAGTCATTGCAAGGAGTCATTGCAAGGAGTCATTGCAAGGAGTCATCATTGCAAGGAGTCATTGCAAGGAGTCATTGCAAGGAGTCATTGCAAGGAGTCATTGCAAGGAGTCATTGCAAGGAGTCATTGCAAGGAGTCATTGCAAGGAGTCATTGCAAGGAGTCATTGCAAGTCATTGCAAGGAGTCATTGCAAGGAGTCATTGCAAGGAGTCATGGCAGGATTGCAACTTGCACTTGACTCCTTGCAACTTGCACTTGACTCCATGCACTTGCAACTTGCACTTGACTCCACTTGCACTGCACGGCTCCTTGCACTTGGCTCCTTGCACTTGGCTCCTTGCACTTGCAACTTGCACTTAACTCCGTGCACTTGCGACTTGCACTTGACTCCATGCACTTGGCTCCTTGCAACTTGCAATGGCTCTCATGACTCCTTGCAATGACTCCTTGCAATGACTCCTTGCAATGACTCCTTGCAATGACTCCTTGCAATGACTCCTTGCAATGACTCCTTGCCATGACTCCTTGCAATGACTCCTTGCAATGACTCCTTGCAATGACTCCTTGAAACAAGCAAGGAGTCAAGTGCAAGTTGCAAGTGCAAGGAGTCAAGTGCAATTGACTTGCGAGGAGTTAAAATCTCTTCTTAGGGCGGCGGGGTAGTGCCGACGACACTACACGAAAATCGACCCTCTGCGGGGATCGGCGTGGTCGAGGTGCAAAAACCCATGGTTTTTTGCGATTTCCAAAGTTCCCGCGCGACCCTCTGCGGGGATCGGCGTGGTCGAGGTGCAAAAACCCTGGTCGAGGTGCAAAAACCCATGGTTTTTTTGCGATTTCTAACCTGCTCGCGCGACCCTCTGCGGGGATCGGCGTGGTCGAGGTGCAAAAACTCGAGGTTTTTTGCGATGTCGAGGTGAAAACTCGAGGTTTTTTGCGACTTTTGTTGTTCGAACTGGTCCTCGGGAGTTGTCTCGTGGTTCGCGCGCCTGCTCCCGGAACCGGCGGGTCGCGGGTTCGATTCCTCCCTGGTCCGCGGGCGGGCGTCGCAAGATGCAACTTGCATTTTAAAGCAACTTGCGCAGAGCAACTTGCGCAGAGCAAGTTGCACAGAGCAACTTGCGCAGACCAACTTGCACCGACCAGTTTGCGCAGAGCGCCTTGCCTAGAGCAACTTGCGCAGAGCAACTTGCGCAGAGCAACTTGCGCAGAGCAACTTACGCAGAGCAACTTGCACAGAGCAACTTGCACAGAGCACCTTGCCTGGTGCTGTCTCGCGCTTGCTTCACGAATGCTTCGTGTAGGGAAAAAGAACGCATCCTGCAGCGTTGCAGACCTCGCTTGCGATGTTCTGCTTTCGGGCCAACCGTGGTCTAGTTTTCTTCCGTTTTTTCCCCTCGGCAAAGCAGCGCCTGATTGAAGCTTGGTGTTGACAGACCCGCCTTGGTTTCAAGCATCTGTTCAGTGGGCATACAAGACCCTTGTGTCCTTCTCTGTGCGCTAAAGCACCAATTGCCCGGGTGCTAAACATCACATGTCAATTCCCACAAAGGAAACTTCCCCTTAACAATCTATTTAGGC